CAATATATAAATGTCTCTAATCGTCAGTATTTCTTCTTGTATCATCATCGCCGCGGGCTGACACAACTTGCACTCTTCATCCGACCTTCCTTTCCTTTCTTTTCTTATCTTTATTTGATCATCCTTTATATGTTTTGGTTCGTCTGTGGTTTATCTGTAGCTCAATCCTTTATACGAGACAATTATTTCCTACTATAAATAATACTTTATTATTACTTTCTATATTCCTAATTTCTTTATTGTAATAAATTTAATAATATTTTTTTTGTCTTCCTGTATTACGTGAGTATAGTACACCAAACTTTATTTAATAGACGAGTATTTTTCTAATCTCATTAAAACGAAAGCTCACATGAATATTTAAATATTATTGACCCTGCATTTGAGTTTCTTTCCCTTAATGTACGGTATACATTTCCAAGACTTCCTGACTTCGTTTTAATATTTGTCAAACCACAATAAGCACTGTTTATAAAACAGTTTATTCTTATTTAATGAAGAGAGTACTCCAGCTAACTTCTCTTGTAATGAAGCCCTTCATACTACAACTACTGTAGTAGTTCCTTGAACAAGTCTCGACTCTAACAATCGTCTCTCATTGTTACAACAATGAATTAACAATCATATAAAGAGTATAATGCCACATTTTTATATACAATGCTACGTCGTTTTGCGGTTCAAGTTGTACAAGAGATGGGGCATGGTACAAGTTGTGAGACAACAGCTATTTAAAACATTACTATAGTGGATTTTTAATTGTTAATTTTTTTATGTATGTTTTGTACAGCTTAAGTAATATTTATATATTATTTAATAATACAATCAACTTATTACTTTAGTATAATGTAATCGAGTCTAGCAAACCTTCATATTCTTTCATTCATTCTTCATACATTATTTCTCAGTCATATCTCTCGTACTTGTACCACACTCCACAGTCCGTAGGCCTCTCAATAGTTTGTCAAACTGTTAAAAGCCACTTCACCTGACAGAGTGCCGGTACTGAGTACTACGAGGTATTTTATTCGTGGGAAAAACAAGATTCATACAAGAACAACACACTAAAATTACATGACCTTACTTCTAATACACGGTGATTATTGTTATGTTTCATTTTATAATGGACTAATAGAAAAAATTAAACTAAGTAACTCTTGATAAAATTAGAGTTGTGTTTTTGTGTTTAAATGTTGTGTTTGGTGGAATGTTCCAGATATTCTGCATTTAATCCGCCTTCTTCTTTAATTTTATATTAATTAACATGCTTCATTTTATATTTATTCATCATACTTACATTTAAAGTCATCTATATTATAATATTAATTCATTTAATACAACAGATCCTTGTTGTAATCTCCATCATTAATCCGAGTTCATCCGACCGATATATTTTAAGTCTACAAGACATCTCAATCTGTTAATGAATGTACCGATCTAATTGAATCATTTCTGTAACAATCCTCTCAGTGTGTTGAAGCGTCGCTGACATTACAATATTTAAAACATTTATAATAATATTCTGTTCATTTAAAATGAAATATATTTTATTAATTTAATATGAGAAACTAAGGTTTTCTAAATGAAACTATTTTCGGAATTACTACGCGTTTTTATTTTTGACTATAACTACATACTCCCGACGTTTCGGCTACTTTATAGCAACCATGATGACGGACAGACGAGATGAAAGTGTATGATGAAACTGTGTGATGAAGATATTAAATATTAAAACTAGAAAAGATTAGTCTCATTTAAATGAGTACATGGAAAACCTTGTTAGCTGGCTCCTTGGTTAATATTGTCATGTGTTTTATTGATTTGTGATATATTTATTAAATTCATAGAAAATATATAATGTAGGAATAAGAATTACTTACTGTGGCTAAGAAAAAAAAATCAATTTAGAGATAGCCATTTTAAATATACCTACCAATAATTAGAGATAAATCATGTTGAATGAAATAAGATGTACAAAAAGTTTATTTTAACAATATTTAAAAATGTATAACTACAATTAATAATAATATACATATTATTCAAAGTTTAAAAGTCTATCTATTTGTATATTAAGTCGCTGTTGTTAGATAATTATGTATTTCGAAAAATGTCTACATTCAATGTCAAATAAAGTCTTTAAAAAAATGCCAAAATAATATGGAATTTTAATCAAATTATTTTTATACGTGTAATGTCTTCCACGGTATAACACGATGGACCCCTTAGAGGAACACGTGCTCTGGTAGCGGGTTCATTCCCCGTCGTGACGAGGGCTGTAATTGATCTTTATACAACATTACATTTATATTGGAACTAGTTTTATTAACGTGACACAGAGAAAAACAATTAAAATTATATACACTGTCAAATTAGATTAAAAATCAAAGGTCAATGAACTTATTGAAATTTAGGTTTTCACGCAAAGTATAATAAAATAATATGAAGTACATTAATGCTATATAAATAATAGTATTATACTGTTTTAAAAGATGCTATTTAGATGTGAAAAGGAAGAATTGACTTTAGACTACCTGGAAGGAGTAAGAAAATGCATCATTATAGATCGTTTAAAATGATCATATTATTTTACACATAATATAATTCTAATAGTATTTTTTGTTAATAAAATGAATCATTTTTTTTAAGTCCACCATCATTCCATCAGCTGCGTGTCAATTTGATGCGTGACTTTTAGTTTTCATAGCGTTACCAATGACTCGTTATACATACACTAAAAGAACCTTAACGAACAACTTGAACCGTTTATAAGATGTAGCGATAACTAATGAAATTAAACACACTACACAAACTATGGAACAATACTAACAATATAAGAAACGAGAGCATTCAGATATATAATATAAGTTGTAGACATGAATGAAATGAAACACAAAGTCGAGGATACATTGAACAAGTGAATGGCAGACAGAGTGGCGGGCGGCGACATGCTGTGAGGAGAGACCTGTACCGAGAAACACAGCCGCAGAACAAAATGATCACAGGTGGGCATTAAATAACTTTTAAAAGGATTTCCGTTCAGACCATCACGAGCAAACAGAACACTCGAGGTGACCATTCGAAAAATATTAGATTAGACTCGCTTAGGGCGAGACCATTCACGTCTGGAGACTTGCTTTGTGTTTAACAAATATAAAACAAATGTAATATTAATAGGTTGCTCGTTATTAGAACAATATATTGAAACAAACAAACTAGTTGACTACGAATAAAATACATACATATATACGTACATTTAACTAATGATTCTAAGATTTTCGCGAATATTTATTTAAATGAAACTAATATTTTTCCGATAATACTAGGCGATTTTTATTTTGGTGAAAAACTACATACTCCCGAAATTTCGGCTACTTTTAATAGTAAAAATCCGAAAAATATTAGATTCATTTAAATATACATTTAAAAGTTAGCGTCGTAACGAATAATATGTAAATGTTAGTGACGCGTACAAAATCATCTTTATTGTTAAATAAATTTTATACATTTATCACTGTACATTTTTATTCCGACACAATATGCTCGTCATCATCAGAGAGACGACAAAAACCAAAAATAACTCAGAACACGACACAAAAAATATTACAGTTATTAAGTAGAGTAAGGATCAAAACATATTGATAATAGATAATTACCGATAGATCGATATAATCAAATGATTCCCGGATGATTCCCGACCTACCCTTCACCGGGTCCATGTCTGTGGCAATTATCCAAATAATGACACCCTCACAAGACCCGGGTGTACTGCAACCCTTTATCATGTATCAGTTCAGGGGATATCAGATCTTATTATTAGTTATATTCTCGTAAACATATTTTTTTATTCCACCTCAGATAGTTGCCGATCATGTTTGTCTTTTATATTTGTTCAACGAAAACATTATAGTTCTGCAAGAAAGGATTCTCTTTGTACATTGTTTAATATTAAACATGAGGGTGTAGCATAAAGAGTTTTGGCAACGTTTTTCTATCGGCCATTCGGATGTCGGTCTGAGATATCATCAAACAAATCTACTGTGAATTAAACGTTAACTTGTAATGATTCTGATTCATCTTATAGTAACATGTTAATAATGTAATCCGGTCCACAGTACGATGTGAGTATGAATGAAGTAATAACTCTTAAAGACGCGCCATTAGCATCATGTAGCCGTCACCGCGCGAGTTGCTTTTAAATTAATTCTGACATGATAATAACACGCATTGATTCACAATTTGATCCCTTTAATGCTTCATACCGGTCCTGTTCGGGGCGGGGCGAGGGTAGCTGATGGACCAGCCACCACCCCACGAGCCTCGCATACGGTCCGCATTATGAAGCATTCATATCTAATTAATGGACACTCGACTACACGGACTCAATACTTTTGGTACTTACACTGACCGGTTATAAAGAATTGATATTACATATCTTAATAATAAATAATGTTTACACGGAGTTCAGGACGACTTTTAAGAGATTAAAATATAACTATTGAAAGATATTTGTATGAAGTCATGCTCTTATTATCACTATATTAAAAAATAACTTCTTTGTTTAAACACAGAAAAAATGTTAAAAATATAATATGATATAGTAAAGTATATTTTCTCTAAAATGATGTAAAGCTGGTTGCACTAGCAGCATCCATTTGATAAAAATAACAATAGGGAAAAATTAAAAAGCATCTAAAACAGTAACCAAATTGAATTTAATGAGACAGATACAAGGGATGTTAGCTCCCCATACAATATTATTCATAGCTACTAAAACGACCCATTCATAAAAATACTATATTTTTTTCAACTACCATTGGGGCGACGGGCCGCCGACAAAAGGGTGGGCCGGGCCAAATAATTGACAAAACGCGTCGAGTGAGTGGCATTGTGTTTGTTTACTATGGGGTGCTTAGTACCTACCCCCAGTTTTAGTAATTGTTAGTGGAGGAGATCTCGCGAACAGTCATCAGTCGTGAGGCGAGCCTGGGCCGGCGAGCAGCACCATGTCGAGATCCTTCCTAGTGGACGCCTTGATCAGTGATACTAAAGACACTAACACGGAGATGAAGAGTGAACATCTGACGTACAACTTGGGTAACTTGGACAGGCGACCCAAGTTCCTGCCGTACCCTTACCCCGGGAGTATCAACCTCCTGTCTCTTGGACTTCAACAGCAACGAGCGCCGGACCTGTTCCGACCCTTTCTGGAACAACTGAACTTTCGCTACCCGATGTTACACCAACTACCTCGACAGACGGAGTTCTTTGGACCCGCTCACGAGAATCGCACATTCGAGCAAATTCACTGGCACGCAACTCCTTGAGCTAGAGAGAGAGTTCTCGATGAACATGTACCTTTCCAGACTGAGAAGAATAGAGATAGCTTCCAGGCTGAAGCTGTCAGAGAAATAAGTGAAGATCAAACAAAAAAATATATTTATTATAGGTATATTGGCTCTTTCAGCTTTAATAACGGATGCGACATGAAAATAATTTGAGGCCGTCATCAATTCTTATTAAAACTCATTAGTATTCATGATTATTTTTAAAAGTAAAACGAAATCAAAGGTTGTTTAAAAGGAGAATAGAACTATGTTAAAATCTTGGTATAAATATGACATCTGGACGCACGACGGCAGAGTTCAGAGTTCAGTGAGTGCGTATCATTGAAGTATGTGATTATGAAGAACCTTCGAGAAATACAGGAACATTAAGAACAATTGAAGTTTCATTTTTAAACATCATGAAACGTTCTAGAAGAAGTGACATTTGTTACGTCAGCGAGGCTGGCGTCTCTCTCTTTAAAAACAACGAATGTGTAATAAATCCGATATATAAAATGGTTTAAATACAAATATATTTTATTATTATTAAAATATTGTTGGTGAATATTTGCATAAAACTATCCATTTTTGTATAAATAAAAGACGTCACATACCTACGTATTGCTATTTTTAGTTATTAACCTGACTTTAATCCAACATACATGTACATAAGAAAAAGATCTCAGAGTTATCGTTTAAAAATATAACATTGATAATGAATACTTAAACCTGATCGCTTCTTGATAAACCTCTCAAAGCCTTTAGTTGTCATTCTCAGACATTTTTCAAATTGACCGCTTTTACCATAAAATAATAAATGTTCTTCAATATCCATAATCTTTAACATACTCAATGATCCTGTTCCACTCCTCCTGTAAATAAAAGTTATTTAACAATTTATCTTTAAAAACATTAAAGCAGTATTGATATTTAATTTCGAAATAATATTTTGTGAAAACGAGAAACGTGTAAATGTTTCCGTACAATTAAAATTAAAATAATTTTATAATGTGAGTACATCAACTCAGATATCAAGAGGCTTTTTAATTGGCGTCTGCCTGTATTATATTTATGTAAAATATGAATGTTCTTTAATATTTTTTCACAGTATTTTAGTTGAAATAATTTTATAGAATGACATTTACATCAGTTTTATAAATAGTATCTTCCATTATTAACATCATATGACTAATAATATGATATTAATATTCGTCATCATCGTCATCGTCATCAGCCTATCAGAGACCACTGCTGAGCAAAGGCCTCTTTCTCACATGGAGAAGGTTTGAGCATTAATCACCACGCTTGCTCAAGACGGGTTGGTGATTTCAAACTTATAATTGTGAAACTATAAGTCCAGGTTTCCTCACGAGGTTTTCCTTCACCGTATGTCAATGGTGTCTACATACTCCCAGAAAGTACAAATGACTCCGAAAAATCACATTGGTACTTGCCAGGTTTGAACCCGCGATCTCGGGAACGAGAGGCGGGCCCTTTAACCACTAGGCCACCACTGACTGACTGATATCAATATTATTCATATTAAATTATTATCTGCGAGATGACTAATATTTAAGTTATAATACGATAAATAAATAAGATAGTTTTATTCACCTGCTTTATAGATGACAAACAAAACTAAATATGTATTTTGCGGCGAAATCTCCTATAACGTATAACTATGTATCTATAAACAACAATTAAAATATTGATGTTAATTTCATACATTCAGCGAGCGGCTCTATTAAAAAATAACATACCAAAAGATGAGAACTTTGAAAACTGAACCAGCCTTATTTTAATGTGCAACCTGCATATATTATATGTCTGTTACAAATATCACAAAAACTATCTATTAATGTGCTTCTACATATAAAGATATTCCAGTAAGGATGAAAGCGGAATGAATATATCTTACATGATTTACAGCCAGCAGGTTTTAGATTGTAAAAGCACATTATCAACAATTATTTAATAATTTAAAGTTAACTGGACTTTCAGCATATGGACTCAATTTTCCTGTATCAAATTTAAAATTACTTTTATCCTTAGAAGAAGAATAACCGAATTATTATATCTCTCGTGTTGCATTTGGTCCATTAGTACTGATCCTACTTTATTTTTAGAGACTTATTTCACCTCCTCTGTGCGCTACAGTAATTTTCTAAATTAACAATAGATTTATTTGTCATAAAAAAATATATTACTTTTTATTCAACATATAAAGGCATTTAAAAGACCAATATCTAAAAGAACTTAGTTGTCTCTGTTTAAAGAAGAAGTATAAAAATGTAATCTTAATCAAAATAAAAATTAATAAAAGACATAAAAACTTGTTTATTATATTTATTGATTAAAAATTATTGTATATTTTAAAAGCACCTTTCTATAACTATCTGCATGTTACGTCACTGTTTCATTATTTGAAACAATATTCTTCATTCTTAAATATTATGTTAATTATTTTTTTACGACTTTCATTAAAATATTATACAGAACACTCATTTTCAGATGGAATTATGTATATAGTGTCTTTTTGTATGTAAATTAAACCAACAAGAGTGAATTTTGTTATTAATATATCTGCGTGGAGTTAGGCGTTATAATATTATTAATGACTGGGTTCACTCGTTACGGCGTGTGTTAAACCTGCTTTAATAATTCCACTTTCCATATTCTGCTTACAACACAAACATACATTAATTAACTTCATAAGCATTATACACCTAAAGTATTCTAAAATTAACACGCCAATTTATTTTGCGGTTATACAAAATGAATTATAATGTACATCTCATTCATTTATCAGATAATTACTTTATAAATGGAGCACCGCAAGTTTAAAACTACATACATACTCCGGACGTTTCATAGTTGCTGCAAAATTAGATAGTGTTAAAAATAATAAAATAACGCGTAGTAATCCGAAAACATTAGTTTCATTTAAATTAATACTCGTGAAAGACATCTCAATATAAACTTCGTTGTGAGTTGCCAAATTAAAAAGGGACCAGTTTGAGCAGTTAAATTATATTAATAAAAACGATAAAAGCTCAATTACACTTTTCATTCAAAGAATCGCAATATCATGGTAAAGAAAGAAAATAATATTGAAATTTAATTGCGGTCGCCAACGATTTGGTCTTTTTTCAGATTTTCAACTTCATATTTTGGATAAAAATAAAGCCTCTTTTAGTCTAATATTTATTTTAGCAATGATTATGTTATGAGCAAACTATAGCGTAGAGTATTTATTTAGTATCAATACTTTGTACTTTGAGGTAAGTTTTACGTATAAGCCTAAAATGTGAAATAACAAATTTAAGCAGATGATACCTTTACAAGGCCATTCTCATAGATCCTAATGTAAACTTCATTTGGAGACCTAAACTTAAACTAGAAATCTTGACGATCTTAATAATTCAACTATCTTCTGTATCCATACTTATATGTATGTCATTCAATTAATGTTGAAGCAAAAACATTTTTATTAAAGATTATCACCATTATTTACATTATAAAAGGAATTTGATTTTGAAAGTAATTTTAAGAGAATAAAGTAGTTTATTTTTTTGTAATGTATTGTAGTTTTATACAAATATACAAGAACAGAATACAACTAGAACATTATAATGTTCACACTGTTTATATATCAATGATTGTTGTAAAATATAGAAAACAGCTGAATAAATGAATAAAGCTGAAAAATAAAATAATAAGAGCCGTAGTATTTGAAAAGTCATAGCTTCATTTAAACTAGATGAATAATATAATGAATATTTTAGTAACAGATATTTTAAACAGATTTCAAAACTTGGTTAACTGTATTATCTATTATATTAGATATTTAACTGTCATTTTAGTTTCAATTATAATGGAAAAATGTAGACATGTAAGTTATCTTAACCTTTAAGTTTTTGAAATCATTTATTACTTAAAATTAACTTAAGCCTAATTAGTATTGATTTCAGATTTAACTTCTGAGATAGAATTTCTAAGTGTTACAAGTGGCGCCATCTGTGCCGTACTAATTATAATATACTGTAATCCTTACAATCATTTTTGTGTCAAATTTTAATCAATAATAAATTAATGTACCTGTGGATGTGGCCGGGATAAAATTGTGGTAACCTGATACTCAATTTAAGTTATATAGAAAACACATAAATGGCTTATAATAATATGTAAAACAATATTTTTAATAATTTATAATTCATTATATTTCAGAACCTATGTTAGTTTTGTAATGGCAAAGCTTGGTTAACAAGTTGTTTAACAAGTTTGTAGTACATTTCTAGAATAAACGCTTTACATCAAGTCTGAAACTGTATCTCAAACATAATATAAAGGACATTAATTATTCTTTATTTTCATCAAATACAAAGTTACGATATATTAATAGTTCCTTGTATGTAGTTATGAACATATTATTTTATTAAATTCTCGTGATGCGGTCTAGATTCCAATTGAACCGTAACAGAGTTACTTTTCCTTGAAGCACCGTGCTCGCTAACATAGTTAGTTCTCGTCAGTGGTGTTGATGTATACTGTAATTATAAAGATTAGATTGTTATAGTACAGGAAAAATATTATTATAGAAGGATCACAGAAACTTTATATTGAAGTAATATAATTTATTTACACTTCATGTATGTGTATTGTGTATACAGGGTGACTGGTGAATTACTATCGATATTTGAGGACGTGATATTTGACGATCATATATGACGAAATAAAAATTAATATTACATAAATATTAATAAATTTCGAAGTAAAGTTAACCAAAAGTTATGTAATTAATTACGCATCGTATGAACACCCTACAGATTAGGTATACACACACACTCACACAGACGCAGCGGCGGCGATGTGTTGTATCAGCACGCCGCCGCACGCGTCCACACTTGGAACACTTGGAACGTGTCAACACTTTATTTATTTATACGGAAATTTGGTCAAAAATTAAGTACCTATTTTTTTTACATAATTCGAATGAGAAT